GTTAGTATAAGAGACAAAGTGAAGACTAAGCTCTAGTATATAGAGGGCACTCTCTTCCTGGTTGCAGGTGTGATAGGAATGGAGAGATGGGGGAGGACGTATGAAGCAGAGTGGAGATACAAGATAGAGGAGAAGAGGATATGTGCCCTCAGTCAATTGAAAATCTGTCAGGGTGCAGGTGCATACAAGCTACAAGCTGGAGATAAGAGGCAACTCTGTCTCTCTAGCTGTTTTCCTCTTCACCTCTCTTGCCCTCTTCTTCCCTTGTTATCATCTCTTTTGTTTCTCTTTACTTCTCCGCAGCGCTAGTATTAATCAAGCCAGCCATGGTAAAACAGTCAGGAATTCTGACCCTGTAACTTGTCAAATGACGGTTTATGCCTCAGTGAGTAAGGATGGATCCGTGTACTCCAGAGTCTCTAGTCAGCATTTTCTCATTATTGGACCTGTCCAGTAGTGAGCAAATTCTTTAAACGCTGCAAAGCATTCTGGATTTGAACTAATGAGAAGGTTTCCCCAAAAGAATAGTTAGACATCTATCTACTAATTCCAGAAATCTCTTGTCTGTATGTGGCTTGCATAATTTAAGAACCATTCATCTTATCAGTTTCACACTTCGAATGTGTATTGTTAAGCGCCCAAGAAAGTGCTGTGTCGAATTTGATGCGATGCGTTCAATAGGCTTGATTAAACAGCAGCATTGGCAAAGCTTCTGCAGACTGAGCCCTGCACCAGGTCTTCACCTGCTGTGGCTCAATTATTGCAGGTCACTGTTACAGAAAGCTGAAACCAGTATTACTACAATGCAAGCAGCCAGCCCATTCCAAGCAGGCATGTTCAGAACGGGCACTGCACTAGTTTAGGGTAATGTGCTAACTCTTTTTTTCTCTCTGTACTTTAAATTCAATGTTAAAAATGCTGTGAAACTGGAAGAAACATCTTCCTATTGTGTTGATTGAGTAGTTGCAGTGGTGCAGGTTGGTGTTTTCTCATTTCTTTCTCCTTTTTTTATTCGAAGGTTACACCTTGAATACAAATATCAGAGGGCTATAGATCTTCCATCGTCAATCATTAAATCAGATATATGCCATATGTCCCCTTATACACAGGCCTATACACCCCACAGTAACACAAGAATGGCTGCGGCAGCTGCCTCGATAAGTCACGTATCAGACAATGAATCAACAAGACTTGGAAGGGGAAGAAATAGAGGAGAGTGTAAAACAGACGATGATTGATAGTGTAAGCCCAAGTTGTTCAGGGCTAAGACTGCTTCTGGAGTCCAGAAACAGAAGGTCGACAAAAATAGACAAAATGCCCAGGTTGATGACTGGCCATAGAAACCTGATATAGACATTTCTTGCAGGACTGTCAAGAAAGTCAGTGCCCATGCACTACCTGGCTTTTTCTTTCCACTCTTTTTCATTGCATAGAATAAAATTTTTTACTACTCTGTAATGAAAGAAAGAATGTTTCATTCAGCAGTATTTTATGTCGTTAGGACCATACAATATGTCGTTAGGACTTAATCTCACAAACAAGATGTTGCAGAGTTTGACTGCACTTGTGTTGTAGCCCTCAAGTCAGTCGCAATATTGGATTCCCTTAATTTTTCCTCCTAAGGCGCTGCTTCCTATGAGATGTTAACAAGATTTTCTAATTACTCGCCTGAAACGCAGTAGAGATACCAATGCTTTGTAGCTGACAGCATGGAAATAAATGGTGCATGGGAGAAAACAATGTGTCACATGTACAGCCAAAGAAAAATGTCACTCTTAACTAAGCATGGTTTAGAGGCAATAAAAACATCTTTCTTATCAGTCTTGTAGCTTTGCCAGTAGCTTTTGTAGTTGTGTGTTGTGTGTCTTTTCCATTTACCAGTTTCTCCCCTTTGATTTCCCTCTCTCTCTGCGTCTTGGTAAGCTGGTCTGCGTTGTCCACAAGTCTGAAGCCTCTGTGTTCCGTCCGCCTCCGCCTTCGCTGCCGGAGATTAAAAATAATGGGCAGCACCATTAATTAAGCAGCTAATCTTACTGTTTATGTTTTGTCACATTTACCACTCTCAGATGCTTAGAGAGCTCCCCCAAAAAATGACTGCAGCACACACACACACATACGCACACATTAACGCCTTTACATGGCTCGACGAGCTGTGAGGGATTCTGCTTTGCTTCACTCCAGTTAAAAACCAGAGGCCTCCTCTCTCTCGCACTCTCTTTATTTATTTATTTTTGGAAGCAGCTCAGTTAATATTGTTGATTTAAGACCTCACCTTCAATTTGGTGTAGCATGTGGACAGAGCTTTAGCTTTTGCTGCTGCTGAACCAATTTTCTGCTTCAAGCGCCTTTAATAAACCACACGGCGCTATCAGGGGGCTTCGGCTTCCCTGATGAAGGCCATTTATTTCAAATTAAAGGAGAGTTCCTTATCTTCGGGAGCCTCAAATGGAGAGAGAGATAAGGATGGCGCACTTTGGTGTCGTCTTGTCTATGTTGTTAATGTAACGAGAGAAACGTAAGGCGTGAGCGAGGGAGTAGTAAGACAGGAGACTGAGTTGGAGAGAAAACAATCGAGTAAAAAAACAAGACAGATTAAATAGGCAAGATTAACCATTAGAGGTGGTGTGCGAGAACAGATATGATTGACTGTCTTTCCTCTTTTTGAAATGGGCCTCTGAGTGAACACCAGTGGATGTTTCATCCCTCCCTTTTCATCTTTTTATCTCATTTCCTTTTATATGTGTTTCCCTCTGCCTCTTTTTTTATTTTCCTCTTTTACCTCTATCACCCATTCTCAGATCAACTGCCTTTGCCTTCATGATATTGTTGCTGATGATAAAACGGGTGTTTGCCTTTGTGGATACGACTATGAAATGCTGGGGTCAGCTCTCCTCTGTTAATCAAAGCTAAAAAGAGCCTTTAATTTGGCTTTCAATGAAATCTGCTGTTAGCTGCCCCTTGCAGTGAAAGCGTGTATGCTCGGGGCACGATGTGGCGGTGACTGGTGTGTGTGCGTGCGTGGGTGCATGTGTGTGTGTTGAACATGTTCATAGTGCTTTCATGTTCATAGTGCTTTCATGTTTACAGTGCGCTCCGAAGTTTGTGCACTTGCCTTTTTATACTTGTGTGTACAAAACTCTCTTGGATTTGCTTCAATCAGTCAGAATCCATGAGAGTGAGGTATACAGGCACACCTGTCAAAGTTAACAATCTGATAGATACACAGGCAAAGACCAATTATAATACAACCCTCATATCAAATTAAGCATGCTCAGTCTCTCAAAGCACACGTTTCTCTTGTATTTGATCAGTATGCTCCTATCCACTTAATCAAATGTGATTTAGCACTAATTACATGATTTGCAATAAGGCACGTACTATGCACACATTAGCTTGTTAAACAGGTTGCAGTGGGTGTAAATGTTAATTGTTTTTCATCTTTGTCTTGCTTCATTTAATCAGCTAAAAAAATGTCAGCTTGGGAATAGCTTTTCTTCGTCATATATTTTCTTTTGTTTGGTTGGTTTGTTACTTGGTGTCCTCCCTTAATTGTTGCCATCTTTTACCATGGTTACTGCCATAATGTCTTAAAGCAAGTTAAGTGAAAAATGCAAAGTTCACCTGTTCCCTTGCACATTGCGCTCGGGTCCCTCTGCTCTGCAGTAATAACAAATGACACTTGACACAGTGAATTCAGTTTTCATTTCCAGGCTGCCTCTGTGTGGACAGAACCTCTCTCTCTGTCGTTTTACTCACTCTGTGTTCTATACTACTGTTCTATACAGACTGAAATATTTCTTTAAGGAACATCAAGAGGAAGATTTAGAAAGTTGACCGACCACATTAAAGGTCAACATTTCCTTTCTTTTATTTCAAAGTTTGATATCCATAAGAGGATATATTTGTGGTTTTAATTACCAAAAACGCTTTGTTTCAGTTTAGACAGACAGTTCTAATTGCCCGACTCTTCTCTCAGTCTTTTCTGAGTGACACATGGCCATGCCTACTTCATGTAATCCATTTTTGCCATCTGCTGTAGCCCACCGGTATGCAAATGCTGATATACAGGATATACTGTAGAGAAATACACAACTGGTAAAACAGGAAAGTTTAAACCCCAAGACAAAAGTAATGCAATGATTGGTAGAATAATAGCATTGGAAGCCCAGAGGAGATGCTGAAAAAAGCAATATAGTTGTCCTTAAAAGAGGTTGAATGAAAATTGTTCTCAGGTAAACAGTCAAAAACCAAATTGTACAAAGTTGAAGGGTGGTTCAGAGTGGGCTGTACTGGCAGTATGGCTCAGGGCTGTGACTATCACAAAATCACAGAAGTCCTAATAGATCATTTAAAAACAGTTCTGAGTACAGGTTGTGTGCATTTCTCCACGGATTGAGTGTTTTTATACTTTCACAGTGTTTATCGATCATTCATTTGGAATGTTGTTTGTGGCTAGCTGGGCGATGTACATCAGATAGTCTCTGTAATTGATCTCTTTAGCTCAGATTCTGTTCTCATAAAACTGCAAAGGGAAATATCTGGTTTTTGTCTGTTAAATGCTCCTTGACATTTACCGAGTTGTGTTCGCCAGTTCACCACGTCTGCCTCCCATTTGGTGCTGAGCGAGTAGTGTTCAGCTGCTGCTGCTGCAGAAGGTGTAGTTATGAGAGGGAGAGAGCGAATCAACCAGTGAGCTAAGCTACCTGTTGACTTCATATAATTATGATTTATTTTATACATTGGTCATGACTCATAAAAACGCTTAACAAATCCAGCCCAGATGTATACATTGAGATAGTCTGGTCCAATATCTGGACTTTATATGCTGTTGCACATGAGTTGTTAAAAATCTTCGAGGTTCTGCTCTATCCTAGTTTTTTCAGTCTCTATTTTCTCTCTGCAAGGCCAAATTTTGTGAGGTAGAGGGAAGCAAACTTTTTTCTCTCTATTTAAATGCAGTACTGTTTGCAAACTCTTTTCTCTTGTCTGTGTTTTTGCAGGTCTCGTAATACAGACCCAGTGTGTCTCGGCCTGCAGGCTCAGATTTTATCCTGCTACAAGGTCAACAGAGACCAGACCCTAAAGTGTTCAGACCTCGCCAAAACATACATGCAGTGTATCAATGCTGCAAAGAAGGTAAGAGCTGTTCAGTCTAGATCTGATGGTTTAATATATCTATTTAGATCACCCATTTAATTAGAAAAAAACCCCAGCAATATTGAGCAACACCCTCTTAAGCCATGTTGGTGTTGACTTTCTGAAAAAGGGGAAGTCCTACCTGTGAATCTACAGGTGTCAATACAATAAATAATAATCTACATAAAGTAAGTACATTTATTAAATCACTTGGTTGTGGTTAAGCATTTCTCATCAGCAATTTCACACAACAAATATCTACCAGACAGAGCATCAGCCAGTCCTAGAGATCAACAATCAACAAATGAAGAAGAACCCGGGGAAGAGTGAAGGAATGAATTAATAATCAAAAAGAATCACTAGTGTATCACATCATATGGTCAATAGTGAGAGACCAGAATTGTCAATGAACATCAGTAGGTTTTTTAAAATAAAGGGAAATATACTAAGTAGAAAAGAATTTACAAATGTACTCAAAAATACAAAACATTTCCATCACCAGCACAATCACCATAGACATCATTATCTCCTGATGGATAAATAAAAAAATCATTGCACATAAGAACACATCTTTAATTACCCACACAGTAAAATATTTTACTGCTGCCCATGAAATTTATAAAGAGAAGTTGCTCACATAATGACCAGAATGTTAAGCAATAGGTCAAAATCCATTCACATTAAAACTAGAACAAGCAATAACTTGCTATATTGGTCCCCCCAAAGTTTTATATCAGACAGTGATTCACACACCAGTGATTCCAAATTACAATACACAACATCAGTACAATGTTAGTCACACATGTCCACTGACTTATCCCCACAGTGCTGTGTCAAAACTGGATATTGGTCTGTCTGCACTCATTAACATTCTGCTATTGGGGTGAAAAGACTGCTCTAACTTGTTGGTTTTTCTTGAAACCAATGACAATAGTCTTGGACAGCACTAAGCCGAGGATGCAAGGATTGTGTCCCTGCAAAGTGGTGTCTGCAGGGGACTTGTTTTGTTGTAACATTTGCACATGAGGAGGCAAGTACTGTCAATTCAAAATGGCTAAATCCCAGTAAAAGAAAACTGAAACAAACTGTCGACAACGTATCCAAACTGTGCGATTGCACAATTCCACATTTTGGTAAAAACGGCATTTTCAAAGTGTAGGTTGTTTCTCACTATTTTTTATCAGTGGTAGTGACAGTTTTGAAATTGTGTTTGAGTTCTTTTTTGGTTTGAGTTGCAACTTTCTTACAAAATAATTAATAATATTATGTTAGAGAGATGTTTGTTTTATTTCCACAGCTGTGCTCTGTCTGATGTTCTTTTAAAGATTATTCTGAACAAGTAAAGGAGGGAAAATCTGGTTTATATGGTTTTGAGTGCTGTCACAGCCTTGTCATTAAAATCAGCTTTCAGACTGAACATTTTCTTTTTACATGTTTTCAATTTTTCCTGCACTGTCAACCTTGTTTTTTTTACCAGTGCCCAAACTGACACGTTTTCAAGGCAAACTCAGTGAAGGCTGTGATAAAACAAGTCTTCAGTTAAAGTTTCCCTGGTCACTGTAGCTCCTTGCCTTTCTGGCTCTTATTACAGACGTTAAATGATTTTAAGAAAGTTATGAAAAACAGGCTGTCCAAGTCAGATGCTGTTGTATCTCCATTTTACCATTAGAATTCTAGGAGGGTGTGGAAGCAAAATGCTTGCACTGCAGACTTTGTTTGCCTGAAAATAATATTATGTAATACCACACTCTTTTTGTTTTTTTGCATTATATATTTTTCCATATTTTAAGTCTGATGCCTCATCTTTTAACCAAGTCCCTAATCACAGCAAAGAGGACATACTTTATATTATGCATGTGAGTCATGTTTTTATAGCATCATTTTAGATGTGAAATTTGATAACAACAAATATGCAATGTTGTCCTATTAAGCTTTAAGCTGGCAAATATGGAGCAGAAAAACTCCCCAAAGGCAGCAACAGGTTATCAGACAAGTTGAAACAATTACATCAATGACTTGATAACTTGTGGTGTTTGTGGCTTGGTGCTATTTTTATAGCACATTTCAAACAAACAAACAACTTAATATGAAGTGCTTTACAGAAGAAAAGCAATAAATACAATAAAATAAAGCAAAGACAAAAGTAACTGAGTAAAAGCTATTGTGAGTGTCATGAATATACAAATGATGTCCACTGCCACCAGCACCAGAATCTTAAGTTAAAACAACTGCTTTGTTGGCAATGTCCACCAGCCTCCCTCCGGCCACAACTCTCCCCTTGTTTGGTGTTCTCACCAAGTTGTTGCCAATACAATCTATGTGTGTGGTGGAGCCAAGTAAAGCCATCCCCTATAAACATTACCAGAAGCACAACTGAATAAAATTACTCTGTGTACAGGAGAGCTGACAAAATCCAGCTGGCTGCTCCTTGTGAGACGCTTGGTAAATTAACTTATTTCGGCATTGCGTTAACTCTTGCAGACCCAAGGGCTACACATTCCCAGCATGGCTGCTGGAAGCTATTCAAATGGTTAGCGTGTTTATCATATTTTGCCATGCTGTGTGTAGCTCATGTAGTGTATTAAAAAAAATGAAGGTGAAGCTGTGGTGTTTTTGGTTTAGCGGCAGCGTGATGGGCAAATGGCAGGTGCGTCCACAGTGTTTGTGTGCTCCTCGATCCATCGCAGTGTAGAATACGGGTGAGCATAATCATGTTCCTCTGTTCACCACCAATCACGGGTGGAGCCATTTCACCTTGTAAAGAGGTGATGGTTTTGAGGGGTGGAACACACATGCACTAGCATGAGAAAATTCCTGGAATGGCGAAGAACAGAGGCTTCGATCATAACACACACTGGATATCAGTGTGAGGCTCCGCTCAGGATGCTTTTATGCACCACCCCCACCAGAGGAAAAGATATGTAAAACTGGAGATGGTAAAAAATACAAAAACAAATAAAGATAGAGGAGTAAAATAAATGTAGTTCAAATATATTTTGCAACTTGTTTGAAATGAGGGGGGAAAGAAACCTAAACTTTACTTTTTTATACCAGCTGCTTGGAGG